CTAGAGTTCGTGTAGGATGGATGAAATTTAGGGAACTGGGTGGGGTATTGTGTGGAAAGAAATGGTCAGTGAAGATGAAAGGGAGGGTATATAAAGCATGTGTGAGAGCAGCGATGGTATATGGTGGTGAAACTTGGGTGTTGAGGAGAGAGAAGGAAAGTGTACTGCAGAGGGCTGAAAGAGCTATGGTGAGGATGATGTGTGGGGTTAAAGTGAAGGATAGGAGGAGTAGTACAGAGCTGATGTCAATGATGGGACTGAATGAGGACATTGTGACATTGATAAGAAGATCGAGATTGCGGTGGTATGGACATGTGTTGAGAAGGGATGAAAGGGTCGGGATTAGGCGAGTGTTGGAGTTCGAGGTTGAAGGAATGGTAGGAAGGGGTCGTCCGCGATTGGGATGGAGAGAGCAGGTGGAGAAGGACAGGGTGAAAGCGGGGTTGCGTGATACTGAGGCGATTGACAGATGTGGATGGCGTCGAGGGGTATTTCGGTTTCATCATAGGTAGCCAAACGGCAACCCCCGATCTAGGGGAAAATGTCGTCTAAACGTGTGTTGTTTGTTGTTAGAAAATGTACGTTTTAAACTAACTTTTGCTTTCTTTATAGATGCGTGTGCGTGTTTGTGTGTGGTGCGCGCGCGCGCGCGTGTGTGTGTGGTGCTTGCGTGCGCGCGCGTGTGTGTATGTGCCATGTTTTTCTTTTTTAATGGTGAATTAGCTTTAAATTTATTTTTTTGAAGGATGTTGCCAGGCTGGTAAAAGGCAGGATGGAAAGAACTTTCCTAGGAGAAGTAAGAATTTTTTTAATTTTACATGTTTTGTTTGCAATAGTAAAAAAGTAAATACAAGTTTTATTATATAAATTATTAAGTTAGCTTCTTGTTTATTGATTGCTTGCAAGTTGGAAAAAAGTTTTAGTTTGAATTTGCACACAAAAAAGGGAATGTTTTAACTATTTCTTAGATCACAGAGTACTTCCAAGAAGTCGTCCTACCAGATGACAATTTCATTCTCATCAAGCTGGAACTGAACAGGATCAAACTACTCAGGGTATCATCATCCTATCATCTCCTATCATCATCCTATCATCTCCTATCATCATCCTATCATCATCCTATCAGCATCCTATCATAATCATCTTTATTATCACTTTCTCAAATAGAAGTGTAGTGCTCTAGCTTAATTGATGTAAAGCATGATCACGAGTAGTCTTTCGTTCTAGGTTGACGAGTGAGGCAGCTCAGACAATGGCCTTATTTATTTATTTTCATTATTTGGCAAGGCATTGAACTCTCCTTCTGAGATAGAATAGCCATGTTTGGCGTTCGTGAGACCAGAATACATGCGACTTAGTGTTTCGTAGTGATTAAAAAGTTGTGTTGACCTAATGCAGCATAATTTCATCATTTCATCATTTTCTCAGCTGGAAGTGAATGTTGACTCGGTCAAGAAATCCATTCTGCTGTCCAAGTTAAAAGTCAAGATGCAGGTGTGTTTTTGATGCTTTTTTCGATGTTAATAAACTTTCCGAGTTATAATTTGTTGGTTATCACACATTCGTCACCACATTCGTCACCACATTCATCACCACATTCATCATTTGGTCGTGAAGGACATTGAGATCCATGGCGACTCCATTATCATTGTGCGACCTCCAAGATCGAACAAAAGTTCCTCCTACTACGTCTTACAAAAGCTGATTGAAGGTCTTCCTCGCGTTGTTGTTAAGGTTGTTTGTGTCTGGTGTTGTTGTTATTGCTGTTGTTGTTGTTGTTGTTGTTGTTGTTGTTGTTTGTACTTCCTATTAATGGACGTCTCCTATATTTTGTTTTGCAGGGCTTGTCTTCAGTGAAGCGAGCTGTCATGCAGATACTGGACAAGAAAGGACCAAACGGAGAAAATTCTTACGAATTGGTTGTTGAGGGTACAAATCTTCAGTCCATCATTGGAATACCTGGTGAGTTGGCTGTTGAGATGTGTGACGGAGTGCGTGTAGGGGTTGAGTGTGGTGGTGGTGGTGAGTGGTTCTATAGAGGTGTATGGTGATTGCGTGGGGGTATGTATTTCGATGGGGTTTAGTGATGACGCGTATTGTTAGTCTCGTGGCAGGTGTCTGGTGGTGGTGGGCTGTGCGGGTCAATAGGGGTGTATGGGGGGTAGGTTGCTGTTATGGAAACTTGTTCGTTTTTTAGGTAGACTTTTTTCTGAACGTGCTTCAACAACATTCATCTTCATGTATTTGTTAGGCAAAATTAAAAAAGAAATTGATGGATGGATTGGATGGATGGATAGATGGATAGATAGATGGATAGATAGATAGATAGATAAATGGATGGATGGATGGATGGATGGATAGACGTACACATGCATATCATACATAAAATGACGTGTAATTTACAGGTATTGTGGGCACGAAAGTGATGTCCAACAACATCATGGAGGTTAAACAAACCTTTGGAATCGAGGCTGCCAGGTCTGCTTTTTCAATTCTCTTCTGAATATATAATAATTTTTCATGAAACGACATGCAGACTTTTGGGTTTCAAATTAATAATCCAAATAATAATAAAAATTCTTCTTTTTCGTGCCTCATCCTTTCATTACATTGGCGACCATCGAATTCCACAAAGCCCGATATTTGACACTTTGTGGTGGTTGAAATGTGGTGATACTCAACAAGTGACACAAGGACTTCACGAATGTTATTCATTGTTGACCGCGATCTCTTCTCCCTGCAATCCTTCCAGTAGTTGTTAGATTTTCCATTCTTTCCTTCCGCATGATGTGACCAAAAAACTTCAACTTCCCCTGTCGGATTATCTGTAGTAATTTTCTCTTTTTATAACCGGACTGTTTTAATACATCCTTATTCGAAGTATGAGAGAAAGGTCCAACTAATTTTCATACAGGACTCAGAGCCATAAGGTGGCACAGAAAAATGTAACACCCTAACGGTTTTAATTTTGTTGATATTCTGATTTTGCTGTTAGTGAGGATGTTTTTCATTTTAGAATATGCATCTTTGGCCATAGCTACCCTTCGTTTGATATCCACATGACATTTACAACCTAAGGTAATCAGACTTCTGAAATAATAATTGAAGCTGTTGACTTGTTTCACCTGTTTACCATTAATGATTATGGGACAGATCGAGGGCGGTTTTGCTTTTACTGATAACCATACACTCTGCTTTGTTGACGTTAATTTGCAAGCCTTTCCTTTCATATTCAAAAACCAGTTTGGAAACAATTGTCTGCAGTTTTCCATCGATTAAATAATCACAAAATAAAAATTTTATAATAATTAATAAATAAATAAATAATTTTGATTATAAATTGTTATTACGATTGTACTGGTTGTATGACAACGAACAGAGCAACGATCATAGAGGAGATGATGAAGACGATGGGCAGTCATGGCATCAGTTTGGACGTTAGGCACATCACACTCCTCGCTGATATCATGTGTAACAGAGTCAGTCCTTTCACTCATTCACTCACACCTTCACTCCTTCATTCATCTTCTCATTCACTCATTCATTCATCCATTCATTCATTCACCCATTCGTTTTTCAAGGATTAATTGGTCGATTTTATTGATAGTTGTTTTGTAATTTTTATTCATTTGATAAACTTGGTAGTCATCTCACGTATAGTTGGTTGGTTCGGTTGGTTTATATGATTAATTGGTTGATTGATTGATTTATTTATATGATTGATTGATTGATCGATTGATCGACTGATAGCCGATTGATTAGTCGAAATAATTATTGCCAGATTAATACATTTTTTTAAATAAACTAAGTTACATCACTATTCTAAAAACATTAGTAACGTAATTTAAGTTAACAGTGTAATGAATATGATCACAATAATGATACAATTACATCAGTAATGCAGTGAACGTAAAAACTTTTTTTTTGAAGGATGACCATAGTAACATTAATAATGTAATTACATCAATAAGGCAATGAATATAGTCACATTAATGATTTAATTGCATTAATATTGTCATGAAATTAACTATCCAGGGAGATGTTCTCGGAATAAACAGAGGTGGAATGGCTAAGATGAGGGAAAGCGTTCTCATGTTGGCTTCTGTAAGTGGTGATGCTGATGGTGGTGGTGGTAGTGGAGATGACGGTGGTGGTAGTGGTGATGATGGCGGTGGTAGTGGTGATGATGGCGGTAGTAGAGATGATGGTGGTAGCGGTAATGATAGTAGTAGTGGTGATGATGGTGGTTGTGGTGATGAACTTGGTAATGGTGATGACGGTGGTAATGGTGATGATGGTGGTAGTAGTGGTGATAATGGTTGGGGTAGTGGTGATGTTGGTGGTGGTAGTGGTGATGATGGTGGTAGTGGTGATGAAGGTGGTAGTGGTGGTGGTTAGTGTCTTGTGGTGGTGGTACTAGCAGTGATGAGTATCATGGTTACCATGTGATGGTGGTGGTGGTGAGTATCATGATTGTCGTGATGGTTCAAGCATAAC